TGTGTGTGTGTGTATGTATGTGTATATATACATCTACATTTAATCATTTTCGATATTTCGTAATCCTGAGGAATAAAATGTTTTTCCTCGGTTTCTTTTATTTTTATTTATATTCAAATTTATCACGTATGCAAATTTATACGTACGTTTTCCTTTATTACTATGGGAATGTCACCTTGTCCTATTTTTATATGCTAATATATAGGCGTATATTATTGTGTAAAACCATGTAACTGCTGCACTTTTGTAACTTTTAATCATGAACCTATGATAATTCGCTCACATTCTACATAACGTCACCTTGCCGCTTCTGTAATTAAATTGTAAATTTTAGATGAATTATTTGTAGGTGTAAGAAGATAGTGTAATGAGCGTAGGACTATCTACATACGATGGTTTGGAGAAAGAGACAAGTTCTAACAATGGTTTGGAAAGTGGCGGGGGAGCTACGAAAAAGTTAGCCAGAGGTATATCTCGAGCAACTGAAAATGCAGCCATTGTCTCTTACGCACGTTCTCAATTAGCTACTATTGGATCTTTGGATACTCCAGAATTTACATTCTCACTCCCTGATCTAACTGTATATCCAGGTACTTTGTCCGTGCTTTGATACATCAGTTATAATGACAATTACTTTTGCTATTTTACTTCAATTATTAAATGACATATTACATTTAGATTCATTTCGACAATTTTTGGAGAAAGATTTGATAGAGGGTGGATGTTTAACTTCTTTGGAAGCTGCTGGTCGTTTAAATTGGTGGTGCGGAGGATGTAAAAATGGAAGTAACAGAGTTTTATGGCCTTTGGCAACATCAGGAGATGGCAACTGTCTTCTACATGCAGCTTCTCTTGGCATGTGGGGCTTTCACGATAGACTTCTTACACTCAGAGAAGCTCTGTATAATACTTTAGCTAAAGGAGAATATAGACATGCTTTGTTTAGAAGGTGGAAATGGCGTCAAATGGGCCTAAATGCAGCTGCAGGATTATCTTATACAGAGGCAGAATGGTTAACAGAATGGCAAACCATTGTAGATATGGCTTCTCCTATTTTCAGGAATCAAAATGCTACTTCCTACCAAAGTCTTGAAGAAGTACGTAAGATTCCTGTATCTTTTTCAAAATTTAAAAATTTTATCAAATACTTATAGAATTGTAACTTTATAGGTACACATATTAACTTTGGCTCATGCTTTGAAAAGGCCTATAATAGTTATAGCAGAGACTATGTTGAAAGATGCGGAAGGTGTAGCTTTAGCACCAATTCCATTTGGTGGAGTTTATTTACCGTTGGAGGTATCTCCATCATGTTGTCATAGAACCCCATTGCTCTTAGCATATCATTCGGCACATTTTTCTCCCCTTGTTATTGTGGATGGAGCGAGTGATTTTGGAGACGGTTGTAACGAAGGCGTTAATATACCTCTTATAGATCCAGACACAGGTCAATTACTACCAGTTTTATTCGCGGTAGATTCAGGACCTGATTGGGATTGGGAGGAAGGTTCTCGAGACTTATTAATTTGTCAACAAGACACGGTAATAAATTCTCATTAAAAACATGAATATAGGTACAATATATATTGAAATATAATTATATTTTAATTATAATTACTTAATTTTGATATTTAGATGGAAATTTTATTACGACAATATTTAGACTGCGAATATCAAAATTTCACCTCGGAAGAAATTGAGAGACTGTCCAATACCGACGGTTCATTTTCTAAAACGGCGAAGCAATTGCTTGGCGTGGCTAAACAATTTGGATCAATTGGAAAGTCCGTTAGTAAAAGACTGTGGTCTATAACGAAGAGACCAAAGAGTTTGCCAGCAACGGCAGGTGGACTTTCAACGGAAGGTTTATTATGTGTGAGGATTAGAAGCAGACGTCACCAATACGTGGATCAGATGCTTCAGAATTATCTTCAATGTGCTCATGCAAGGTACAGCAGTGTTATCTAATTTGTGCGAATTTTATTGTTTCAATTTCATTGTTTTTATGTCGTGCAGATTCCTACAAGATCATAAAGTTGACGATACTGGGAGCGAAATGAATTATGGTGCTGGCAAATCTAAATTCTATGCCGCCAGCGACCGAGACAGCCACGCGAGTGTGAGCAAATTATTACCGACCAATCCAAATAAAGATCGTACACTTTACCTCTCAAGGTACTGAGATTATTAAAATTATTAATTCTTGTATTAATTCTATAGTTGGTAAATTATTTTCCCCCACAGATCTACTTTTTACAATGACCAACCGTCATCTGTTAAACAGGGGCCAGAGTTATGGAATAGCGATAGTTTGGGGGTACGTATTTAAGTACTCATTGTAATTAAGAAACTTGAATAATTTGACGTTTCTCTTAGGCTGCTGTTAAAGAGTGTCGCAATGAGGAGTGTCAATTTTTCGGTTCTGCGGAAAATGATTACTACTGCTCACAGTGTTGGGCGAATCGACGTTATCGTTGAGAAATTGCTTTCCAGCGATATATGACAATAATTCTTTAATACTGCTCGAATTAAATGAGATATAATCAGATT